TCACATGTATAGACTGTAATTCAGTATCGCAATCGTATTGTTACAAAACATCGACAGTGTACAATAATTATTTCGAGCGGGTTATATTATTTACTAACGACTATGACACATACGTTTCAACACGTCGGTACATTTGCCACACAGTATGCGCTCGTATATGCAGATGCGATAAGGTGTGCCTTACGTACCATACTATCTCTTCTTAATAGCTTCTTTAGACTGGACATATCAGTTTTAAAATATGATTGTTTCTCGCATAAACCGAAAAACAAAGTCATTAGGTGAATTTGGCTCGGAACGTATAACTTTTACGAGACGATGCTCGTACTTATGCTAGGATGTTATTACACGTATTCGTAAGTTCTAGTGAAAACTATTGGGGTTGAATTGTTTCTTTGCTTCGTAAACAAAATAATTCCTATAGAAAACTTCCTAATTCTACCTTAAACTAGACTTTTTGTATGACGAATTAATAGTAGAACTATTAGCGGACCCAAACTGTATTTTTGATACATTCATTTTAATTACATAACTTTAACAGCATCTATTTAAATGAACCTTTTTTTTGTACTGCAAAATCTAGACATGCCTGCGTTTGCTGTCCCTTTGAATTATTTTTAAAAATCTGTATTACGAATTTTTCGAAAAAGGTCGTCAGATTGTCGTTAAAAAAATGTAAGAAAACATAAACAACTAAAGATGGAAAAGCGCCGACTGGGCCTTTTCTCAGTAAAGGTCATAAACTTGTCTAGGTCTTTCTTTCTTCCTTTAAACAGCGCTTGAAGTTGCAAGTTCATCCGAGATATCTTATCGGATCTTCGGGAATATCAAGAGAATTCAAAGAAAAATATATGTATACACGACAAAAATGAACAAGAACCCCTTTGGATCTGAGCATTTTATACACAGTGCGGCAAAAATTGAAGAACACTGCTTCGCAAAAAATATTGATGGGCGTAAGCTTTACCCAAGCGCGTTAAGTTAACGCTTTCTATAAAGCTGCTGCAGTACAATAGAACACTATATCTTAAAAGATGGTGTTTTTCACCAAGGGAATGGCGCGAAAAATCCTTAGATATACATGTTTGCCAAGCCACTAGCCGCCAGGAATTCTAGCGTCTTTACTCCTAACAAATTGAAGTGTTACACGGCCATCAATGTGAAATTATTAAGATCATGAAGCGCAAAGTTTTGCGCCAGCAGACTCAACTTCAGTATACCAGAGCCGTGTGCAAAACAAAGGAATCTAAGAAGATCAAAGACGCCTCCCTATCGCCGTACCTCTCCTCTTCTGACCCTCAGTATGTTATAACCTATCGACGAAGTGACATTTAGCGAAGCTCCTTTGCGACCTCTTAAGCTGGCCAAGTTACCGAAAACCATGTATTATTTAGCATCATTATAATGTGACATGCTCCACATTGTTTTACCTAAACTTTTTAGAAACAATTCTAGACAAGAAAGACATTCATAGAGTTGTATGTAATAATACTTACTAGAAATTAGTCTCTAAGGAAGAAGTAACTTTTTCTCCGCTAGTCATCTCTGGCGACAACTGTTATGATCCTAGGTACTCAGTTTATGAGATTGGCAAGCGGAGATATCCATCTCTGCTTGCCAATCCCATAGGTAGCAGGTAAAATTTAGCAGTAAAATCTTCTTTTTTCAGCAGTACAAAGCTACTTAAGCGTATCGTCTTTGCTTTATTGTGCTTCCTGTTCTTTGCTACCAAGCTAGTTTAATCTACGCTGCAAAAAGTATAGGTCAAGGGTAATTTCATATATAATGTTGGATATCTTACGCTGTGATTCATAGCTCGGGGCAATCTACGTCGGAGAATACCAAGTAACTAAACGCTAAGATGCTTGCTTTAGGTACACTACTTGAGGCTTACATATAAACGCCTTTGCGCTTACATACATAGAGATATAGTGCGAAATGAGCTGCTCGTTATTTTAGAACTTCTCATCTGATTTTAAAGAGATTATAAGATTTTGTTGGATGAAACATTGCGGTATTTGCCAACCTACACGAAATTCGTATATACTACGAAGGACTGACAGCCTAGGAAACCCTATTATGATACTAGGAAACGATGTCACACCGTTGTACCACTCGATGAGAAAGACAAGCGAAATATAATACCAAACCTTACGTTACATAAATGGTACGTGGCTATTTCATCTGATTACGGAGCAGATATAATAATAAATCCAGCAACTATAAATATATACCTAATGTGTTCTATCACTTTCTAGTGCTATGAAACGCCGATGCAGAATGGCAAAACAACGAGCGCTGTTACCGAAGTTGTATGAAGAACTGAATGCGTTAACTCTAGTTTTACGTGAAAACCCGCGCTCTCGCTCACACCATGGAACGCGTACTCTTAATAGATCTATGACAATGAAAATAATAAGACACATATGTCGGCTGACAGCTCTCGTGTATACGCCCACATTGGCTTCTCTTGATTATATGTAGAAGAACCTTTGTTTTGCCCATATATTTCATGTGTATGTGCACAAGGCGCGGCACCCAGATCGGAAGCACTTTGGCGGGCTGTTTATCGTAGCCGACAAACGTTCGTCCGGTACTCTTGGCACTGAAACAAGTCAGTCCTTCGAGAACCAAACAGGAAACCCATCACGCCGTTTTTGCAATGTGAGCTAAGATTACCCACTATCCAATCTCTTTGTGCTGGATAAACCCTAGCAAACTTAACCACACGTTTTTCCCGAAATTGACGCTCTACATTTTCGTGCAGCTTTCCGAAAAATCCGAGGAATATGCTTATAAGGGAGACCAAAAGATCCCCAATAACGTTCGAATTCAAGGAGCTAAAAAAATCATCACAATGGCCTGAATGCTCCTTTGATACACTTGGATTTTTTATACAGGAATTAACGGCTTTCCTAGAGAGGGAAATATCAGTTGCCACTTGGGTCGTTTTTCAAGCTTTAGCGGTTTTGCCATATCTTGCACCGTCTAGACCTTTTGGCCATTCGGAATTCTTATATTTTTGGAACTTTGAAAAAGCTGCTATTATTCAAAAATGTAACTCCACTAGGTTGTCTGCCGCGTATTCAGGCAACACGAACGGCTCTACACCTACCAGTTTCGTTTGGTACATAAAGATTATTGAAAAATTACTTGCGGATTAAGGGAGGATTATTCTGCAAGCAACTAACAGCCTCAAGTACGGTGGATGGTGGTTATATTGAGTACACGTGATCATCTGGTCTATTAACACAAAAAAATTAAAATTTTTGCGTTTGTTTAGATACAGCCTTAGAAACAAGGTATAGGAGAACGTTTCAATATAAGCGCCGTACACTGTATGTATATGTATATACATGCATATATATGCTACATATATATATGTGTAGAGGAACATACATCAGGTCGTTCCGAATAAAATGCGATGTCTTTTTTCAAAATAGCGCACCTTCTATAGGGAAACGCTATTTTTGCAATGGACACTGTATTCGAAGTGTGTTTTTACATAGGTAGCAGAAAACCGGTGACAAAGCTCTTTAACAGTGACCGCACATCGGTAAACGGATACAACTGAGCTGGTCTGGCAGCATTCTAACACCGCTGCAAAACTTTATGGTTTCTGTTTGGAGGTGTGGTGCGGGTTTTATACACACAGCTCTATACAAATCGACTATGGCCGAAATGCGCGAAACAAACTCTACATTGAACAGTCAATGTTAATGAATTGACAGTGGTAAACACCCTTCTTGCATGACACCGTTATACCTCACATCCATTATTGACGATGACAGAGACGCAGAAACTAGGGTTAAGGCCTCCCCGTGGTTTGCGAAACGTTATTTAAAAAAAAAAAAAATACCGTTTTTTCAATATGTCGTATTTTTCTACTTGTAAAATAGCTAAATTTTAGCATAATATAGAAACTGTTCTTCGAAATAATATAGATGCTTATTGGCCCGATTCCTATAGAAGCGGAATAAGTAAGTTACTATTCAAATGGTAGGAGATTATATATTAGTTCATATTTCGACTGAAAATGGATCAACTACGTTTGTCATGAAAGTTTGAAAAGTGAGGGCCTATTCCTAGTTGGACGACCGGATACGTATTCATTAGAAATGTACGTCCCACGCATGTATTTGTACAGGTTCTATTATCCAGGAAAATTTCTTAAAATAGCAAATCTTTGAATGTTTACTGTAAAAAAATATTGTAAAATATGAAAATGTCGGGTAAGAGTGCGACATCTTTTTATATATGTGCTTGCGTGAAGAACAGACTGTCGAATATACATTTGAATAAAAGTCATGTCTGGTCTATATGTAATAAGGGGAACGGATTTTGAGGCAAAGTCGGAAATGGCATGAAGAAATATTCGTACGAAGACCTCATGCACTTAGTTTGATCGTGTATACAATTTTGAAGATCTTGTCCTTATGAACTTAGTACCTTTTTATCTGAAAAATCTTATTATAAAAACATTCGTTGTTATATATTGTTGAAATGATAAAGCTCTAGTCAGAGAAAAAGTGTCGTTTGCATGGTACTCTGATTTGGCCATTTGTATAACTACGAGTTAATAATAACTATAACCTAATTAAGCATAAACGTAAGTACATTGCAATGGAGCGCTCGATTTGGGTTCCTAGCAAATTAAATCGACCCCTTAATCAGGTTTACAATACAAATGATCCTAACGTTATGAATGTTAATGCATTCATTAAATACACAAGTTAGTAACTAGTTTTTTTTTTTTCTTCAGATGACGACAAAGAGAAATTTTTCGGATTGATACGACATCCTGTCTGAACCATATAAACCGATATTCTAGAGCTGTTTTAGGCTAGTTTTTAACATGGTTTTTATTCGTTTCATGCGCAACTAGACGCTATCATAGGTTCTGCACACAAATGTTACCTTAAAATATTTATATCGACAACCTTTTTATGCGCTGCCCAGCAGAAACAGATACAGAATGATTAAGTTCAGCATTTATTTAGCAGACGTACAAATATCTTTGTAAGTAATTGGCGACATTGTGAACATGTTACTGATTGGGTAAAAGTACACCCATTCGTATCAAGTTGATGGGTGGAATAATCGGGCGTAAAACAGTCCCCGCTTTGTGAAGAATCAGAAAAGATCTGAAAGAAAAATTTGAAGGAAAGATTAAGCGTCGTTATACGACATATACAACATCCTGTTGACAATTGTTTTGCATACACGTCAAATTTCAGCATAATTTCATTAATTATTAGTGCTTCAGATGCTTATATACTGGTATTAGTAACGCAAAGTCGCGGAATTGCTAACACCAATGGTAAAGCTGCTCTAATTACTGGCTTACAATTCCTTATTAAATTTTCTCAGCTGTCAGTATTTTGCAAGTTCTAGAGTCGTTTAGTCAGTGGGTATCACATGCTAGCAGATCAATTATGTCCCTTCATAGACGGTACCGCCCCTTGTGCGTTAACTCTGCCCGGTGCCGTCTCCTATGCTTCCGAGGGTTATGAGGGTTGGATTAAGTCACAGCGGAAATTTGAAAGCTGAGATGAAGACCGCTCTTTGCTTCCTCCGTGCTTTTTGCTATCGAGGAAAAAAGGCTCGGGGAGAATAGATCGCGTTCGGTGGTTGTGGCAGCCGTGTGCCATCAACCGAGTGGGAAATATTAAAAAATTCTCCGCGTCGTTTAATGACACTAATAATAAGGTCTTCTGCTGACTTGGCTTTTGGTGATTCTTACCGACACTGCCAAGCCTGTCGAGCCTCGCAATTTAGTGGCTCCATAACATACGAATCTCTCAGTAGTATTGGCGTATGGCTATTAGTGACTCAAGGACACAAAGCGCGTTAGTCGCCGCCCGACTAAGGTTGAGTAAGGGCATGGCCTCGGGCGGCCGGACGCCGATGGCGGCGATGACCGCGGTCGCGCTAGCAGTAACGGTGTACTGCGAGCGGTGGCTCGCACAGCTTGACATCTCCAAGGATGGTAGGCGTCGAATGAAGTCTGTATCAGCCACCACAAGCATCCTGACTAAACAGATAAACCGGACCGCGAGTATGGGGGAACGTTAGTAGAATGTGTGATAGCAACCACCAGGAGAATAAGCAACGAAAAGACGAAGCCTGAAAAAGACGAGAAGCCGAAGGGCCCCAGAAGCGAACACTAAACGGTTGAAAGGCGCTAAAAAAAAGGTACAGTCCGCGCCATGTCTTATGGGTTGAAGGGGTCGTGTGGTTGGGCACTTAACTAAGAACAACAAAAGCGAGTCGGTGATGTGCGAGTGTGTCGTCTCAGCTTATACTCATACTATGTCGAGTTTAATATTGCCGATAAAGCAAGTAACAAGGAAAGCCGGGTTGGTTATGCATACTCACATGAGTCTGGCAAGGAGGGCAAAAGTCAGCAGAAAGATTCGCGGAAACATTGCCGCGTCAATTTAGAATGTAAACAATAAAACAGAAATACGTGATCACGTAACATCACGGCCAAAAACGGAAAACGGATATCGTATGCGTAACATAGGAACATGATCACAGGGAAGTAACGAAGATAGCGCCTCGACGAGTAGACTCACAAGAATCAAAACGAATAGAACATTCAAAAGAGGAAGGGATTTGCCCTGTCCCTGCGACGTGTAGCATCGTTCGACCTGTCGAACTCGAAAACAACAAAAACAGGTTTAGGTAGATGAGCGTATAGTTCGATAATAGAATAGTCTCAAATTTTATCCGTGTGCATATATAGGAACATCCTAATATCGAATAAGGTATCGCACTTAGACGACTATTTACCGTATAAGAAAGGACGGATGACAGAGTGCTGGAGTATATCAAATCAGCTAAGCTTTTCACCTATTCATTTTTCGGATGATCATGATAAATCTTAAAGACGCTTGGCAATCGTCTTTGACGCTAAGAGTAGAGCAATTTTTTATACTTACGCACAATATCGTGGAACGATGCGAACGTACCGATCGCCAACAGCGACACCGGGTCGCAATTTCTCCAAAACCTAGTATACGACCTAATGTTCTAATACAGTTAATGAAAATATAATATATCATCTCTGTGACCTTTCGTTGAGTTCTATTTACCCTTTTAAAGTGAAAACAAAAATGCCTAAGAAAATCTGTAATTACGTTCACATGAATAAACAACCTAACTTAGTATACTAGTTTTTTCGAAGTGGCGGTCCTAGTTTGCTGTTCTTATGCCTTTTTCTTTTTTGTTTATTAAGTGCAAGGCAAAACAGACCGCTACGAAAACCGCTCTTTCTGTGTTGTTCAAGATTTGTTGTCGTTTTTTGTTGTATTTGTCGAAAAGTATTTTTCTCGCTTTGTATACATCGAGTATAGAGAGAAAAAAACAAATTTCTGATAAATGCTTTATTTGCTATTTACAATCCGAGATATTTGTTCTGTACATGGGAAGGGGTTTGTCTAGGTTCTGTTTCAAAAGGTGCTCAAGATAACCTTCGCCGGATTCGAAAAGTCGAATGGAGTATATGTTTCAGATATTCAGAGGTGATATTTATAGATCAGATCTATCAGAGGGATAGATATAAGGCTTGGTCATACATGTAACACGTATGTGTTTTAGTAGCTGCTCTCGTTGGCTTAAGATGAATAGTGAATGTTTAAAAGGCTGTTTCTATCACCTAACGTATCCATATTCGAACGAAAAGGCAAAGTCAATCTTTTGTGATTTGAATAGGTTTAAACAGCAAAAAACGGTTCTTCTTTCAGAACATTGAAAAAAAAACAAAGTAAAACAGGAAGTGAACAGTAAGTAAAAACAAAGTAAACAGGAACTTTTCAGACAACCTGATAATTATAGTGTGCTTCATTATTGGTATACTTAAAATGCCATCACCTGTACAATCTGTTTAGATTACAGGTACGCTGTTCTTTCTCCAATGAAAGTTTTGCAAACGAATAGGACCAAATCATAGCATTTACTGTTCGGTCGACTGCGTAACATCGTCCTGCATCTCGACTATGACAAGGAAGCTAAAACGCGTTTGTCCTTCTCTAAGCGAGCGCAGCTATGGAAATGAGCCGATTATGCCTACCAATATTACTTGGAAAAGGCCTTCTTCTCCGACTCCTTCAAATGTGATTCCAGTCGCTCTTTCGAAATGTATGCGTTTATATCGAAGGCGTTCGTTGTAGAAGACTCTTGTCAGTGTCCTTGTTTGGCCACTTCATGGCAGCAGCACCAGCAGATTCTAAAAAGCAAATCTCGCTTTAACTGCGTTCGGAGTTAAGTGGTGGGATCAATATAGCGGTTCAGGGTAGTCAGAGCTTGAGAACGAAGCTGTCTCTCTGTTTACGTATATAGAGAAGTAAAACGCTCAAAGGGTCATTGCAGTGAAGATGGTCGGCTTAGAAGGCTGGAGCGGGCTTACTTTTAATAGGACGTGCTCTCTGCCTCGTTTTGAGGGCAACACAGCGTCGCGAACTGTCCGCTCCTACCTCCGCGCAGAGCCTTCGCAGTATGATCATATTGTGGTTTGATCGTCCTTTGTTCTCCTTTTCTCTTTCATGACCCGCAGACCTCAACCTAAGGCTCATTTAATGTTTTTACTGAGATAGGGCAGTCTCCATAGGTGCCAAGGAAACTGGTGTCCGTCTTATATGTGACAATCTTTCCGCCACTCTTGCGAAAACGTGTCTAGCTGGCTGGAGTGAAAATTTCGGTGCTACCAGTCGTCGCTGACACTTTTCTAAAGGAACTAGGAGCTAAATTAAGAAAGAAGTGGAAGTATTACTGAGAGGAAGTGGCAACGTTATACGACTTGGTCCATATTGCACAATGTTAAGGCATTGCCAGTACTTCCGTACTGGCAATGCCTTAACTCTGTGTGCATGCAAACGTACATCAGTTGTTTAAACCTGTCTGATATGTTCATGGCATTATCAAGTGAGTCTGAGACGAAAAGCTACGACAAGAGGCTATTATATAGAGTAGGCAAGCGAGATCCACCGGTTATGTAGGATCATTTACATAGTACAAATATTTTCTTACTAAACCTGCAGCACTTGTCGTACGAAGTCTCATTGCCAGTATCAGTCAGCCAAAAATGATAGAGAAGTAGATCAATTACTGGAAAATCGAATACGTAAATTGCTACATGTATACAATAATTATCAGTATAGTTCCTCTGACTACATTAGCGGGGCACCTATCCGGAATGTCCAGTTAGCGCGGTCAAGAATTGTTCCTATAAGGCTCAATCTAAGCAGGCGACTCAATAGCCTTTTGTTTTGTCCGGAAGTGGGCACACCCTATACCCGTAATCAAATCATTAAACACAAATTATTCTGATGAAAACTATATCCGTATTATTAAAACGATTGTCAAAAATGAATTAGACAAAGCAGTAATTCTCGTAATAGCTCAGAAAATATTAGGATCGCATTATATTTTACATTATCAGTTGCGTATTGAACAAAAGTGCTTAATTTTAATAAACGGACCGCATTACGTTTTGAATGGGCACACAATGGATGTATGGCCAGATCTGAAAGTAAACTAACGAAATATATCAATTGCTTTCTCTGAGTAGCTTTTCAGCATCCTTGTAGCAGCTTTGCTACCAGTCTAAACCACTTTTCTCCTCGACATTAGCCCTGTAAGGGGCAGGCAATTACGACAGAAGGCGGTGGCAATGATCCACACAAAGCGAGATATCTAGATTCAGGATGATTTGAAGGTTTTGCTTGAGCTGTATCTAGGTGCCACTCCGTCGTTCTCTGTCATCTTCATCTGTGCCTTTTCCTATTTCGTATCAAAATGGTCCGTGGCCGAGCGCAATGTTCACGCTGTTCAGTAAGTATCTTTTTCGTTTTCATTCCTTGCCTGTTTTCTCTTCCAACTGCTATTATTACTCTTTGATATTCGAACTGCGGAAGCAAATTGTAGACGAAAATGGGAGAGAACGAGGACATCACAGGCAGACGACCAGCAAACTATCCAACATAACCTGGCTTGACCAGCAACTAAATTAGTTATACTCGCGTCCTCGGGCTTTTCGCCAAACACTCAATGCGTCGTAATAGCTACTTGTAGATGCTTCGTACTGAATTGTTACTCACCGACTTCTTCTCTGTTTAAAAAAAAAAAACAGCGCCACTCAGGGTTCTTTGGCTTGATGGTTCTTAGCTTTGAACTGAACGGATAGGCCAAGGGCCTGACAAGCAGGAAGAGGAACGACCGGGGCAAACGAACGGAGAAATCCGAAACCTGGCTGCCGCTGCCGAGGCCACTCTTACCGTTAGCAAAAACACGATAGGTAACGTCGTCTAAAAAGAGCTCCCTATCTAGCACATTGCCATCCTCATGCTTCTGACTGCTGATGCAGTAAAACAACAGACTGTAGTTACCGGTAGTTGTTATCCCGTTGCCGCTGTCAAAGCATTGCCCAGCGGCTCGGCGATAATTTGCCAGTCGAACGTACGCGTCCACACACTGATAGTAATCGACTTTATGGGCCGACAACACTACTTTCTACAGAGTTAGTTAGTTCAGCGGAATAGGGAACCCCTCCAAATGATGATGGTATTCTACGAATAATTCAGTCTAGTTGGTTAGGCGTATGCATTTGGAGAACATTTGTGTGTGCAGCTATAGTAACGATGTTACCTTTGAACGGCATTGTAATGGAGATTTGCGTGATACCGCCTGTGGGAGTGCTTGGCTGTAAACCAGTTTTGAAAGGCAGACCGTATATGGCCAGAGCGCCCTGGTCGAAGGTTTGTTTACTGCCTTGTTAATGCGATGTCTTTAACAAAAAGTTATAGCAAAGTCAACCGGTAGACCGTGCTATTCCACAAATCCGTTACCTAGCCGAAAATATAATACTTTTGCTACCAGTTGATCTAGGCCGTTAAGAGATATCGATAAACAAAAAGAGTTGCAATATCAATGTACAGTGAATATAACGGAATAGAACGGCACTTATTTGTTATCCATAAAGGTAGACCTAACTTGAAGCCAAGTTATATTATCAGCAATAAAAAGCCATGCATGTTCTCGAAAGCTTTTATGCTGATTCGTCCTGTAAACCGTATTTGCAAAGTTCACAATTAAAGGAGTTTTAAAATAGCGATTACAAAAACGCCCATGGAGACATTGGGTTATAACTTCCTTGAGCGGTGTCTTGTGGATTAAATACTCAAGTCAGCCTTGAAAGGGACACGGATCATACGCATTTGATGGTGGGAGAGGGGGGAGGGGGGCGTATAAACGCTAGAAAGCTTTAACTTTTCCCAACAAAAATATCATGTCATAAATTGATCATTACTTTAAAATTGGACTTGTGTGCCTCTACGTTATTGTAGGGTTGAACAAACTTGAGGCCAAATCTTTCTGTCATACTGCCTTAGTCATGCTATAAGACGTCCAATTACGGAAACGTCTCATAAAGATATGACTTGGAGACAGCCATAAATTTAGCTTCGTCCTTACTATAGGCTTTTTTACTGAGTTATAAATGTGCGTTTTGTCTAACGACAGATTAAACGTCTTGTTTATGTAATATTTAAAACCTATAAACAACGTTTACTGAATATCATCAGCCTTTCAGCATCTGCTTCACGAGATACACGAACATGTAAAAAGCCTGCTGTCCTAGGTCCTCTATACGCACGTCATATATCGTTAGCGTAAAGTGTTTCTATATCATAGAGCCACTTTTCGGGTCGGCACGATGTCCTTGCAGACTTGTAAGTAGGATTGCACTTCATTCATCGGCCTAATATAATATATATAGCGAGTTGCTTGTTTAGGTCGGTTCGTGTTTCAGCTAAAGTGATCATATCTTTGGCCTAACTGTGTGTACGTTTTTTGGATGAAGTTCCCAGGGGCTACAGTGAATGGAGCGTCGGCATGTGCTATTCCATGCAACGTCGAACAATATAAATAAACCGATTCTATCGTTGAAGAACCTGTCGACCTCGGGAGAGATCCGATCGATTCATGTCGATGTGTATACATCGTCGCCAACGTACGTATTCGTTACTTTCAGTGCCGAAATAACTAACCAATATTTTGAGCCACTGTTTACAGCATTCAATTTGAAAATCACAGGCTGAGCTGAGACTTAGAGATTTTACTGGTCCGAAGTTCTTACTATATAATCAGTGTTACATTGACCTCAGATATACGCTCAAACCATTCGTGGTCTGTATGAGTTCGTGACTAATAAGCCCACTGGGCATATTTTAATCGACGTTTAGAAATAAATCTATTTGACCACTTGAAACCAAGCATCTAGCGATAAACGATCACCCGCTCCCTTTCAACTCAACTAAAGTCTGAGCAAACTTTATCAATACAGACAAAAACGATGCTGTTGTGAAACAGATTCACAAATGCCAAATTTGAGAAAGCTCAAACGCCTTGAAATATACTCCCTCGTCGAGGCCGTCTTGTGTCAGGTGCGGTGAATACCAGGCTTTGGTTATCACTTCTCCTAATGATAATAATAAAAATAATAATCCATAAATAGAAATGCCGTGGCCGATGAGAATCCCCTACCGTAAAAATAGACATTTTTCCATTGGCAGGCACCGATAATCGTATTGTTTGCTGCCTGTTGCATATCTACTTAGACGGCATTGATTTGCAGTATCACAAGCCTGAAGTTAACTGGTATTAATAAATATTTTAAGTTCTACGTCCAATACTGTTTTTAATTGTTGCTTGAGATAGCTGGCTCCTGGCAGGAAATAGAGTGTGTCTGTGCGCGCCTTCAAACCTCGATTGTATGACGTACCCTGAAGTTTGGTGGGCGAATACGATCTTACTGCATCATATGGGGTATTTAATTTTCATTAAATTAACTCTCATAGACTCTATGTAATTCATATCCGCTAGACCGCTATATCTTTAGGCGCTAAAAAAATTCTTTCAGTTCTAGAGACGAAAGCGAAGGCGTTTAGGCGAAACTCATTTCACTTCAGTGCATCAATCTTCCAACCAGAGCAAGAACCTGTAATCATATCTTTGTCCTAGTGACACTAAGTTATTACGTTATGCGTCTCCCGCAATTGTTCACGACTTTCTCCCACCTTTCTACCAAATACTATATAGCATCTCGTTAGCATATAGCGGCTGTGGTCCTCTCTTGAAGCCGCGTTTCAGGTCCTTGATTCGTGTCGAAATTGATTGTTTAGTGAATAGAAAAGGTGTAAATCGGTCGTGGTAGGTCCGGCAAATAGAAAGGGTACAACAGAACCTTTCATTCAAAGTTAAGGAGGGTAGCCTTAATTGCGTCTATCATATATGGCCTCGCATTATCAGACAGCAGGATGGTCTGACCTCGTTTGTCGAATCTCTTTTTTTTAATTGTCCAGTTGATTCGACTCAAACGCAGGCACGACCTGTGTACGCGTCTTTCTTTTTGTTATCGCAGTGTTCCGAAGTTTTGTAAACAACAGCATTCGGTTATCTTGTCGATATCTTTTTGTAAATACTAGTGAACATCTATGCAATTTGTAATATTATTGTTTGTAGTATGTTATCATTTCATCGCAAGGTCGCAAGGGACTAGTGTCTCCTGGAAAAACTTTGCGGAGGAGGATGCAGAGAAATCGTACCAAGTCATCAGGTCTTTCCGTATAAACCTCAGGCCGGAAAAGCGTCGGGGTAATACTACTTCAATAAGCGAAAGAATGAGGGCGCCAGGACCATTGAAAGACTACCGGGGCAGCGCAAAGTTATGAGAACGAAGGTTTGTCAGAAGGCGCAGCGGCTGCATGTACTCTGTACTTTCGGAACACTCCGTTGCGACAGGCACGGGCATACAAGGAATAGGCGGATGCTGCTGCTATTCACGATGGCCGATTGCAACGGTTTAGAGACGTAAACCATAAATAGTTACCAATGTGGGCATTGATTGCGTGTAAAAGCTTTAGCCGAGGGCCGTCTACTAACAGGTTTTTGAGAAAAATCTGAAAAATATTAAGCGAAAAATACAGTACAGGGACGCAGTTGGGATAATAAGTTGGGACACATGGCTACCGTTGCACTGTTATTAACCCCGGTGATTAAAGCGGCTCCCAACCAATACCATATGGTTAGTTCTTCACATGCTTCCATATGCTTCCTCTATATTTTGTCTGGCCTCTTAGGTGCATATTTATACTAACCTTTTTCGACGCAAGAGCCGGAAGCGCTGGTTGCCATTAAGGATTAATGGACAAGCGTTGGACTAGGGAAAAGCTACTGAAATACAATGGAAGCTTTCTTGACTACATGACTATTTTAGTGATGTGTAAATCACTACTGCTATGCGAAACCCAGGTTTGATTTTAGTTTCGCAATATTTATATCTGTTCGCAGTTATCATAACTATTGCAAGTCACAACGGATCTTTCTATTTCAAAAAAAAAAAACAAAAAAAAAAAAGTTTCATATAAATGACGCACCGGTATAGAGCCTTGCAAACGTTCCACGTGGTAATGCGGTAAACAAATTGCCTTCAAATACAATAAGCCATGTTTTAGTTTATGTCATAAAAGTAGAATGAGCATTCAGCTGCAATCCTCACTCCGGTAGGGTTCTCAGAGTTACCCTATGTGCGAAACTGCCAGTTAAAATTCGTTACATAAATGTTAATCCGCTGTTTTCAGGGTGTAGTTGAGATGGGTGATGATCGTCACGCACACATCTCTCAAACTGAAGGCCGTGTGTTAGGCCGAATAACAAATAACAATCTCCTATAGTCGTCAGAAAGCGTCGATGGTTTAGGTCGAAAAGTGCGGCCTCTGATGATTGTGTTACGCCCGATAGCTTCTATGAGCCTCTCTGGATACTGGATGCCGGCCCTCGGTGATCTAATTTACGCGCGTCGCAAGTACAGAACCAACATGGCAGCTAATGGCCAACTATATATTTAGGTAGCTTTATTCGGTGTCGACCTTGCTTCTTTTTACATTGTTTCCCTAGACGGGGAATGTCGACGACCGATGATCGAGTTATCCTAACAGCGACCGGAGACCAGTGCTATTTCTCGTTTCGAATTGAACGCGGACAAAGACACCAATATAACGCATAGATAGTTGTATTACAAGCCACTCCAGTTTCTCCCACCTCTATAGCTAACTACTTTTAATAAAAGTCAATTCTATTTATATAATTTAACTTTTTACCAGATCACTGTGACTGAAGATGCCATTGGATTTAGCAACGGAATACTGGTTATGGTAAGAAGTGCTTCGGCGGGTAGCCAGGCGAGACCGACTGCGACAATTGTTACGGTGGTGCTCGCTGCATTTCAACACTCTAGTGAAAAAGGACAATAAACAACGTTAATAGCACGTATATTTCTAGCGGCAAGTGCATCAGTATTCCAGATTAACTTTAAGTTTGCGGAACTATGCTTTGAACCGTTTGCGTCTCTAGAAAAGAATCCTTAGATTTGAAGTAATAAATGACGACGGACATTGAAAGGTGCTGCGTCCTAATTGAGTTCTACTTTCGATCCTTCATATCTTCAACATTCTTCTTTCTCGACGTGTTGCAAACTTATGTAAAGTGATTGGCGTATAGAAGAATAAAAATATACTTTTGTAACTAACATGGTTATTTGCTAGTGTTTTGTCTACGTCCAGGTTTTACATGATAGTGTATGAAAGTGCATTTGTGACAGGCAATCGATATCATTTACTTATATCATATAGGATAGAACCGCGATAAAATATATATTTTAGGATACGGGAAGTGATCACACAGTGACTTCGTTGTCTGTGTCTTCGTTTTGCTTCATCTTAATTGTAGTTTCTTCTACAGGATGTCTTCCCTAACACAAAGTTAAAAACCACGTGCAAAAAATACATAACGGTGTTCAGGCGAACGAATTGTTTCCAATAACACCTGTCGTACTCGTAATTTCGAATACGGAGCTCCAAAGAAGAATCGTGTGCTTGGCCTCATGGGTCTAGCTCGTTAAGGTTATTGATAACGTTTCGAACACCTCTCCGTCTTGAATCACATGGTAGTTTCCGCTACTGGCAGGTGGCCTCAACTCTCCGTAATAGCTCTCTACTGGCGAAATGTTAGCTTAAGGAAAGATACCATCATTTTATTAGATGCATTATCTCGAACACAGTTTCAGTGGTCACTACCACAACTGGCAAACCACCTTTGTGTCATGCTCAAATATCTAACGGCTGTGCTATCAACCGCGGCACAAGCAGCCGATTCTGTAAATTTATGCCTACTTTTATTACTATTTTCTTTATTTTTTTTTAATATTTTTAATTATCGCAGACACATTAGTTTTATCGACTTGGAGTTACGACGTATGAGTCTCTGCACTCCGTCTTTCTATTTAATATTCTCGCTACCGCCAATAATTTGAAAAATCCTAAAATCAAAATCATCAAATTTCCACCCTCGTACCTGCCTTTGAAGAAGTTGTAAGGGTAATTACTGTGTTTTGCCAGTCTTTTTCATTTTTCATTGCCAGTCGATTTTTCTAATGTATTGGTATGTCTGTTGGCTGAGTTAACGCCGTTTCACTTCAAATCTTTCGGGTTTTTAGCAGAAATGGGCATATCTCTTAAAAGAAAAAACTATTTACCTGCAGTACGGGGTCCTCTTATTTCCCAATTATGTAAATTAATTTTTCTATTATTGATTATATTTAGCCTAGTTGGGAACTCCTTGGGAAATAGCTGAAGGCTAATAGCAAAGATGTACATTTTAAAATGAGAACTCTGAGTTCAGAAGAGTTCTTACTAAATGCGGCTATTTGATTCTACCGGTACGAATGAAACGGTTGCGTCAATGCATACGAGTACATGTTCTTGCAGGTTAGGACCACAGGGCCTAAGGTTTCAGGACTAGGTTGCTGTCGAGGCTACCAGATAAAATACATTGTGACAAAAAAAAATGTACGCAAAAACCCTACCTCGCTCAGCAGTTCGGTTTTAACTCTTGTTTTTTAGTTTCGGACGTTGGGCTGTTTTGTATTAGATACAGTTGAGAGCTAAATTAGCCGCACAGATAGGCGTGTTGTATGTGTTACATGCTTCCATGTTTTCTCGCATCCGTTTGATGTTTCCCACCTTACGATCTTACATTCGCCCTAAGAGCCGTCGTAAATCGACATCGTATGTATGCGATTTTCAGTACACAATTGCATGAAGGGTTTATGCAGATTAGCTTGTACTAAACGAACCGAATGATATGGAAACTACGACAGAGGCATATGCTGAAAACAGCAAAAATTTTGTAGATGCCGCCGCGGCACATGGACACCTGGCTGACGCTGGCCAAATAAGTTTCAAGATAATCATGTTGTATGCATGAGTATCCGGGCACGACCGGGCATAATGCCACAGATCCGGTTCAAATCAGCCTGTAATGCAGCCTTTGACGGTCGGTAAGTCAAAGCTTGTTAAAGTAGTCAACCTTATGGTACGGCAATGAAATTGCTCCTAATTTCTGTTTCCTTTCAGTTGATTAGTTTTATAATATAGGCGATGCGTAAAAGGCATATGCATATGTTGAAATTTTTGAGGTTTTGGGGGCCGCCTCTTGCGGCTTAGACTGTACTTTGTACCAACTTCTAGGAAGAAAGCGCACTCAGTTGGCACCTGATACCCTGCGTTACCGGGGGAACTCACTAACAGAAACACGTCGAGCTGGCTAATTATTACGACATGCTTATTAATATTCTCGTATAGTATCAGACTATAAAGATTCGTGCTACAATTGGCAGTATCTTTTTTTATCAGGTAGTTTTTGAAGATTATATATCGTCAAACAATCAGATCTTTCTATTAAAATACATTTTTATAGGATCTTATTTATGAACGTACAGGAGCAAAAAATAACGGGACGCTCATCGAGTCTAAGGAAGCGCTGTCTCCATGTTTTTTGAACTGACGACTAATCTGAAACAGTCTGCGATATCAATTTACGAAAATAAGGTGTCACGCCACATTTAAGGTGCTAACCGAAAAAGGGGGTCCTTTACTCTTTTAAAGGGGGAGCTACTCTGTTTCGCCTTTGTTGGACATTACATTAGCTAAATATTATCGGGGACAACATTAGTTAAATAAAGTGTTTCATGATAATTCTTTAGTTTGTTCCAACTGGCTTTAGTAGATGGCAAAGTCTTGGAAGCTTCTATGATAATGTGCAAAAAGAGTTTTCAAGCAAAGGGGCCTAAGTAGTTTTTCCTCGAGTTGCAATTGTATTTATTATATTTCAGTTCAGCCCTTTTCGTCCCAACAATTAGGCAAGATAACTTCAGGAATTCGCAACATAAATATGTAGGTCATTGGCTAAAGTGGAAACAAAAGTAAACAAGTTCAAAACTTTTTTGCGAGAGAGCCTTTACACAAAGGTAACAGTTGATCTGAATAAACGCTGCCACCATAGAAAATACAAAGGATTTTTTTTAAACTAGTTTACGATCACTAATTAACTATGTTATTTATTTTTCGTATACTAAATGTCGCTGAGCTTTTATTTAGGCCTAGGTCCTCTTGTCTCACAGGGCACATGTGAACCAAGATCGTCTTGAGTTCTCAGATCCGTCAGTAGTATTGGCACTAGTGTTCCTGCTTACTCTCTAGATAGTTCATTTGTGTTTGCTGTTGAAATGGCAGCTTTGAGGGCCGATGTATGTAGGTTTACTTTCATGTACCTTCATATTCAAAAGTCTGATCAAGTCGCCAGTGAGCGGCCGTGCCTTCAGTAACGGCAGAGAAATAAGTGGGGATGTCCCCATCTGTGTGAAACTGACTTTGAAGCATATACCAGCTGGCCCATTGATCAATCATGTTAGTGTCTTCATTACATCGGTACCCAATCGTATCCGCCTTTGTCATGGATCGTTTATCGTTTGTACCGGTGATATAGTTCGGCCAATTCAGCGAGAAGGTCTGTCATTTGAAACGAGTAAGGCGTGCTATAAACCGTAAAGGCAGGAATATCTTTTTGTATCCAAGCAGCGGTACACTACGCATGCGCTACTACAATAGTATCATATATATATATATATATATACATATATATATATACATATATATATATATATATACATATATATATATACATATATATATATATATATATAGCTTAGTAGCGTATTAAACTCGTATGTACAATTACAGACCAATCTAATGTACACATGTATCCATTTAACGTACATGACCTTTTATAACTAATCCAGACGCGTCAACTGTAAGGCGGTGCACAAATAAGCTCGACAATTTAGTATATCATGCCCACTTTTCATCCACGATTGTTCTACATTAAAACTAAGCTACAAACCCATATCCATGGAACACTTTTTAACTACTTTAGTCGCTTACTTAATGATCGTATCTATCTCTGTATAGTACTCCGAAATGTTTAATCATCGTCATCATTCGTATCACAATACAAACTTGATTAGCCATAGTCTACATAAATGAAAAAAAGAAAAAAAAAAAGTAGGGTAAAAAAATTAGACCACGTTTTTACATTTTTGTGGTGCATGAATGAACGGTACTTTTGAATTGGCTAAAAATCTATTATAATAAAGATTAGATTAACACAAATAGAGAGTCAGTGGCAATTTTTTTGTTATTCAATAAGTAGGCGAAATAGTTTTGTTGTCTATTACGATTATTATAGGTTTACCTCTAATATTAGTTTGGATGAATAGCTCGAATGTGTGTGTCTCCAGTACCGGGGAAAAGTGAAGCAACATTATTAACGAAATGAGCGATTTGTTCCATTTGTTATTGGGAAAATATAACCTGTTAAAAAAAAAAATACGGCTGTTTTTTGCATTACTGTTCGATATAATAGCGCAATGTTTGTACGGTATTAAGATCGACGGGCTAACGCCTCGGTACATCGTTGGCTGATGCTACGTTTAGGTGTTCGTCGTTTAGAGTCTAGCTAACATGACAGTTATGATAGGTTTGATTTATTTTTTCCTTTTACGTAGATAATTTTAAAGAATAGACTGAATAGGTACTTTATCACAAATGTAATATCGTCGTACGTATAGCAACTATATGAAAGGCAATTTCATTGTACGTTTAAACGCATTTTTTTCTTTTTCTATCAATGAAGCTGCTTTCCTAGCTATTCGTCCTGCTATTTCGAACTGAGATACGGTTAGAGTTCATACGTATAAGACAAGGAGTTCGACTGTTTCAGAACCAGTTGCTACGGCACTAAGCGAAGGTTTGCGATTACAGACTTGTTCAGGTATGGGTGAAATATAAAAATGTATTTTGGCAAGACCCTAGCATCCAGTTACGACTATTTGCGGCGTTATTTGTTAGTTTGAGCGATTAAAATCAATTCTAACGAATCAGTTTCGGTCGAAATATGGCAATACTGCCGTTTCTGTCAGGAACGTAAGAAGGATGTATGTTCCACGGATGTATGACATGCTACAGGCCAACATGAATAGATAGCTGGCTATTTATCTTTGCTATCGCATAAGGAGATCGTGAGAAAAAACAGAACCTGACACATTACCTTAACGCTGTAATATTCTATAGATTGTAGTAGGATTATTATCAC